TTCACAGATTAAATGGAATTACAATAACTGCTGATTACACTTCCACTATATACTGCACTGCAGTGCTGCAGTTCATTATCATTTGACATCAGCAACCACATGCTCGAGCGAGATGACAATATATTCTGTCGGGTTTAATCAATACTTGTAACCTCTCTGTCTGATACCATCTCCTTCCTTATGATCATAATGCTGTCAACAGGTGAATTCAGTCTTTTCATTCAAATTTTATGTTTGTAACCTCAGGACAATACCATTAAGAAAAAAAAACAGGTAATGCAGCTGAGGTGTCAAAGAAGGAATGTGTCAGTCTTTTTTGGCGCCATCGTGGCGAGTTGTTGACTCATCTGTCACCTCGTGTCATTTTTTCAAAGGTTTCACATGAACACACCACAGAGCTAACCGACAGCTGGTAATGACCTGCAATATATTGTTCACTTCCTTTTTCTGAGCAAGCAACGCTGTGTTCAATGTCTCTCAATGAAAATACTTTAATTGGACTACAACAGTGAGAATAAGTACGACAGACTATTTCATTGCATAATTACAGCGGTATCATGATCAGCCTGTGACCTAACCAATTCTCTAAGCCACAAAAAAAGCACCAAAAACTATTCAAAACAGCTATAACAGATGACAGCTTGTGGTGTTTTGAGTCATGCCTCTAACATATGTTTGGATAAATGATCATTATCATGCAAACTAGTATGCGTGATCTAAAGTGCAGCTGACTCAGTGTCAACCATAGAGCAGAGAAGCAATACTGGACAAGTTGAGCAGACATGGAATATGCCTGTATAAGCTATCTCACAAGGAAACAAACACAAGGAAAATGAGTGTATAGAAAATAGATGTTTTCTGAATAACTCTTTCAGCACACCTGACATTAAGCCAATGACACAAGCATCAATACTGATGGAGAGGTCAGAAAGGATTGCATTGACCTCATTTAGAGTAATGGTTTGGATGCAGAGCTCCTGAACATGATTTAGTATGGTTCATGAGGCCTCGGGCACAATGAGTAACTAACTGGAGACACCCTTTCAGGCTGCAATCATATTAGCCTGTTCCAAAGATACCAAAGACCCTGCAGCTACAATGAGGTTTGAAATTACCACCACTGACTGTGAAAATGTTCAGAAATCTAACACATCAGCAGGTAGCGCTGAAATAGACTCATTTTCAGCTGATATTTTATTCTCAGTACTTCTATTTGATTCTTTATCCTACAAAACCCAGACAGGTGACAATAATTGAAAATCAGCATTCAGGTGATTTCATCGAGGAGTCATTAATCTTTTATTATTACTACAACTATCAAATATAAGAGGAACACTTCCTCACTCCCATGTTTCTAGATCCCAAAATCAGTAACTAGCAACTAAAATTAAAATATCAACAATTTATTAGAATATAAGGTACCAATAAACCAACAATGTTTTGGTCATTTTGTATGAAAAAAAAAAAGAAAGAAATAACTGACTAAAAAATTACCCTAGCAAGTCATATATAGCATAAACACAGTTTGCCACAGTCAACCTGTATTTTTCCACATTTGAAATGGTGTGAATGTAAAAACAATACTTCGTGCATACTATTTTTTACTGCTTGTCAGTGTAATGAACAGTTTCCAACTCACACAGAAAGTAAGAAAGGAATAGACATACTGTAAGTCTGTAACAGCTCCAGCTAACTAGTTTGCAACCAACAGTAGCAACCAAAGCATTGCATCCAGATCTAACCTCAGCAAGGAGTATATCCCTAGTAAGCATACATAATGCAGCAGAAAAGCTGGCCATGGACGCACACCGAGAATCCCAGCTGCACGCAAAAACAGCCAAGGAAAGAGGCAATCAAGATCAACTGGAAAATGTATAAGAATCAAGAACAATATTCAGTGTTTGTTATCTTAACTTCATCCATCTTCAATGGAGCTGGAGTCTACCCCACTAGTGAGACAGGTTGCCAGTCTGTCACAGGGCTAACACAGACACAGATTTATTCACGCTCACACCTATGGCCAATTTACAGTAAACCAAACACGCAATTATCCTAATAATTAACCTAACATGCATGTCTTTGGACTGTGGAGAAGTGGAGACCATGCTAACTCCACACAGAGAGGCCCCAGCTGTGAGGTGATGGTGCTACTGAACAATTACTGAACAATAATAATAACAACAACAACAATAATAATAATAATAATAATAATAATAATAATAATAATAATAATAACAACAACAATAAAAGAAGAATAACTCCAAAAATAGGAAAGTTTTTGACTATGTAAAACCAATGTATTTGGTAGTCAAGGTAAGTGTAAGAGATTAGAAAAAACTCAGCAGCTCTTTATCTGGTTTACACATCAACACCTCTTACAAACATGTGAGATAAATTTAATATTTTTCAAAAAACTCTTTATCTAACAAATCTTTTCCTATCTCTTTTGTATTGTTATGTAAAACATCCTTGGGTTTCTTGAAAGGCACAATACAGATCTAAGTTATTATTATTATCATCATCATCATCATCATCATCATATTATAAATCAAACCTATTGTTCCACAAAACACCTCATGCAAACATGAAAAAAAAAAAAAAAACTACAAGTACTACAACCAAAAAGAAATAGCATTCAGTGGAACTTCAAAATGATTTATCTCCTTTTCTTTACTTTTGCTTGAAACTGAGCGGCCATCATTGCAACAATGACACTTGATGTGTTAAATTAGTCAGTAGTATACAGCGTGAGAAGCAAAAACTAGGCCAAAAACAAAGCATTGGTCTGAATAAACCAGTGATAAGAGAGGCAAAGCTAGATCAGGTGAAGTCATTGAGCCGCTTTTATTTGGGTTGCTGTCCCAACCTGGGACACTCATTCAGTCACTGTCTCGGATTACAACCCGTGCACTTATATTACAACACATTTCAAAGCAAATGATACTTTCCAGAGCTACTAAAAGCCTACTCTCTTCTCTTCTGGCAATGACAGGCAGAGCAGAATTGCAGTATATTTTGTCTTGTTAAAAATAAATTTTGTGGAAAATGCTAACTGGGTCACAGTGCTCTGTGTGAAGGAAATAATATGTATGACAGAAAATGGAAAAAGTGTTTTGGTTTTTTTTTTTTTAAGGACAAATAATTTGTCTACTTATCTTTAGTATATATATAGTTATAGAACAGCTCCCACTGGAATGATCATACATCTCAGCATTACGTTAACAAAAGAAGCAATCAATATTGTCTCATGTTTCTCAGGTGTGTTTTTATGTCAAGTGGGTTTGTTTGCAGGAGGCTGAAAATACTGAACTTAAAAGTGACTCTCCATACCACACCAGGACTATTGTTTTATCCATGTAAGCAGGAGGTTAAATATGATAAAGCAGAACTGATAGTAAGGACTCTGTACAAGACACCTCTTGACTGGACCTTAACTCAATAGCAGCAATAATCCCTTGTGGTTTTTTCAGGTTTCTTAAAAGATTCTGAAACACGACTCTGTTTAGACTGGCTCTTTTGTTTTATTAATCCAAGGAGCAGTTTAAAGGTATTCGGGAGAGATGAGATGAAGTGCCAAGAAACCTGTTTGGTATAGGAAATGAATAAGGATACTAACAGCTAAGTAACAGTGGTGCTTTGAGGAAAAATTTATTGATACAAGAATAAGCCAAGAAAGACAACCAGTGGGCCCTGTATAGTAAATATTAAGTGAAATTGTACTTTACAATTTCATGGAACCTGAAAAGTGAGAAATGCATTTTTAAAAAAAGGAAGACAAAAGGTGAAGTTTTAAGGTGATGACTCATCAATGGTACATTGCATTGCTTTGATTAACCACTTAAGGCTTTAACAATCTAACAGAAACTGAACAGAAATAAAAGCCACTTTATATTTAATCATGCTTGTGGTATTTGTGTAACTGTGTTTAAAAAAAAAAAAAAAAAAAAAAAACTTAGTGATTCGTCACCTTTTTTAATCATAGGG